GGGAAGAATGGAGGAACCTGGATTGTGCAGAGGGGAGGGAGGGGAGGGGTGGGGCTGCGGGGTGGGAAGGAGAGTAGAATGACAGACATTGTGGCCCTATGTACATGTATGGTCACACTACTGGGGTGACTGTGCACCGTGTGCAGCCAGAGGAAGGAGAAGTTGTGCTCCGTCTGTGCACAATGTGTCCACAGGCGTCCTGCTGTCGTGTACCTAATTAGAACAAATTAAAAAAACAGAAGGGAGACAGGAACAGAAGAAGGGGATGGGGGAGGGAGGGGGGAGGGAGGCACTGGGGAGTGAAACTCATCAAATCACACTGTTGTATCATGGGCACGTGTGAAGACAACAAATCCCGCTGTTATGTGTAATTAAGATGCACCAATAAAGAGGAAAAGGAGGAGTTCAAAGGATAATTTGTATCTTTCCACAGCCTTGTGCTGCTGACCCTGGAGGTCCGGGTCCAGTGGCCACTGTAACAAAGTCCTGCAGGCTGTGCAGCTTAGACAGCAGAAACTTACTGTCCCCAGTTCTGGAGGTTAGGACCCAGAGTCAGGTGTCGGCAGGGCTGAGCTCGCCCCAAGGACTCTGGGGAAGAGCTGCCTCTGCCCTGCGCGGCTGCCCGCCCCTGGGTCCCTGCCCGCCTGGGTCTGCTCCTGCTCCTGCCTTGGCACCCCGTCTTCTCATAAGGACACCTCGTACTGGATCAGGACCCACTAATGACCCGTCCTCACTCCATCACGTCTCCTAAGGCCCTGTTTCTGGGACCGGGGACTCCAACTGTCTTTGAGGGACACAACTCAGCCCAGAACAGACAAAAAGCGCTTTGTTTCCCCAGCAGCTCAGCGACAAGCAGGCGATGAGCTGTGGGGGCGGCTCCGAGCGCTGGAGGGCGGAGACCCAGACCTGTGTCTAGAAAGCACCCACGTGCTCGTGCTCGAGGTGGCGAGGGACAGCAGAGGAGGGGACACCCTGGAAGAGGGCGGGGCCGCAGGTGAAGCCTCTGGGCAGTGGAACTATCACTTCCAAGAACGTCCCGGGGTTCCTACGGTGTCCCCCCAGGACGTGGCTCTTCTCACTGCTGTTGGGCTGGGACAGGACCAGAGCCCGCTGTCCCCTCACCAAGGAGAGTGCCCAAGCCAGGTGAAGAGGACGCTGCTCCCTGGAGAAGGACTCTGGAGCCAGAGGACGGGAGACAGAATGTGCCCTGTCCTCATCTGCCCGTGGCAGTGCCCACTGCGGGGTCTGCTCCGGCTCCTCCTGGGCCCCCGGCGCGGTCCCCGCCCAGTTCTCCGGACACCTATCACTTGGTGAGTGTCCTCCCCAGGACCTTCCAGGAGGCCCTCAGCTTAAACTAGCCAGACCCTCTTCCCTGGCGCCCACGACCTCCCCGCAGGCCACCCCAGCGGCCGGTGTCAGTGACGCTTGGGAAACTGGAAGCTCTGGAGCAGCGTCCAGCACAGTGGGGAGGGACAATGACGGCCATTTTAGGAAAATTAAGTTTTAAAATTCAACAAGTGAGCCCCAAGCTGCCGGAGGACACCTTCAAGACCCGGGAGGATCCGCGGTTGGCATATCCCGGGACCAGCCAGACTCCCGAGGGCGCGGCTCGGCCCCTGGCACCTGCCCCTGGCACACACACGGGGGCACAGGGTGCAGCTGGACCGTCCCCCTGGACAGCGCAGGCCCACAGCCTGGCCTCCCTGGACACATGCTGTTCCGACCCCGTGTCCCCTTGGCCGGCTGCTTTTCCTGCTCCACGAGGGGGGTCTGCTCGGCCCAGGGGCAGTTCCTGTAAAAGCCACCTTCTGTGACCCCACGGGGCGAGTCTGTGGGAACCGCTCCCCGAGGCCGGGCTGGCTGGGAGCAGATGACTGTCCCCTGCCAAGGTCCATCATGAGGTCTGAGGCCTCTGACGGGAGCTGCCAGTGCCCAGGGCTCCAAGAGCCCTGCCCGGGGGTTGCAGAGAGCTGGCCGCTGCCCTAACTGGCCGGACTCGGCCATTCACCGTGGGAGCCTCGTTCTCGCAGTGACCTGGGGGAAAGGCACAGACCTCCCGGCCCCGAAGCCGGGCTCTGTCTCAGTCCCCTGGGCTGCTGTAAGGACACCCACAGACCAAGCTGCTCGAAAACTGACATCTGTCACTCAAGTCCTGGAGGCCAGAAGCCCAGGTCACAGTCCTCGTAGTCAGGCCCCACGAGGGCTGCCCTTGGGCTGCAGCCTGAGGCCCTTTTGCTGCATCAAGTGGCAGAGAGAGGGCAAGTGACCGTCTGGGGTCTCCTTCACGAGGGCACTGATCCCGTGTACGAGGACTCCCAGGTCCCCAGGTCCCAGCGCCCAGCACCGTCACCCTGGGGCTCAGGATTTCAACATGCAGGCCGGGGGTGACACAGACTCTCCGTCCCTAAGAGGCTCCCAGAGGAGGAAGACGTAGAATCCGTCTGAATCTGCGAAGTTCCAAGAGGACGAGAGGAGGCCGGGCTGCCTGCTGCCCTTCCCAGGGCGCCCCCACCTCCCGCAGCAGGACAAGGCCACCTGTGCCACTCCAGAGCCCCTGGGGCCGTGGGCAGCACTTCCAGGACCCCTGACGGGAGTCCTCACAGGAGCCCCGTAGAAGGCCAGCTCCTCCTGGTACAAGTGGCCAAAGGATGAGAGGGACCTGGGGGAGGCGGATGCCCGGCCCCCTGCTGCGCAGAGACAGCGGCCACACAGGGAGGAATGCAGGGGAAGTAGCCCCAGTCGATGGCTAATAAGGAAGTGGGGACCTTGGTCCTGTCACCACGTGGAGCTGAATTATGCCAACAAAGATGAGCTTGGGCCGTGGGCCGTGGCACTCGCCGGTAATCCCAGGGGCTCGGGAGGCTGAGGCAGGAGGATCGTGAGTTCAAAACCAGCCTCAGCCGAGGCAAGGCCCTGAGCAACTCAGTGAGACCCTGTCTCTAAATAAATACAAAATAGGGCTGGGGACATGGCTCAGGGGTCAAATGCCCAGGTTCAATCCCCAGTAAAAAAAAAAAAAAAAAAAAGAATGGTCTTGGGCGCCGATCTGTCCACGACCCACAGCCTGATCAGCAACTGGTGACGTCCTGGGTGGAGAGACCAGGGCCACCTGACTTCTGAGCTGCGCAGTGGGAGCTGTTAAGCCACAGGTTTTGGGGGCTTGATCTGCTGCAACGGAAAACCAGCCCGGCCTCTGCAGAGGCAGCCTCGCGGGGAAGCCTCCTGTGCCACCCACCCTCCCCCGGGTCAAGCGGCCAGACAGGGGCTCCAGAATCAGAGCAGGTCCCACAGCCTGGCTGTCCCAACTGCTGGCTCTGTGACATTGACAGAAGCAGCCTCCTTTCCCTCTCTGAACCTCGTTTCTGCCTCTGTAAAATGGGACTGGAGATCAGGTGCTCGCTGGTCATCAGGGCAGGGCACCCGGAGGCCGCTGGAGAAACGCGAATGCCCGCCGGGCACTGTGGCGCACACGTGTCCCAGCTGCTTGGGAGGCTGAGGTCGGGGGTCACTTGAGCTCACAGGTTCAGGACCAGCCCTGGGCGTCATGGTGACCATCCCCCAAAAGAAACACGAGGTCTTGGGGGTGGCCAGAGCTGACCCCACGTGCTGTGTGAGCCACAGGCCAGTGGGAGTCAGGACCCTGACGAGGCACACGGGTGGTGCATGCATGGTGTTCTCAGTGGGCACAGCGGGGCGAAGGCCAGGCCTCAGCGCCTGACCGTCCCCCTGTGGACAGGTATGGGCCGGGCTCTCGCCTCCTCAAGGCCCCGTTTACACTGGTTCCCCTGAGGAGGGAGGGTTCTGTTCTGTTCTTGTCTTTTGGGGGGACTAGGGATTGAACCCAGGGGTGCTGTACCACTAAGCCACATCCCAGCCCTTTATTTTTCAAATTTTGAGATAGGATCTTGCCAAGTTGCTGAGGCTGGCCTCCAATTTGTGATCCTCCTGCCTCAGCCTCCTGAGTACCCGGGGTTAAAGGCATGTGCCACCGCACTAGGCCAGGAGGGATGACTTTTAAGTCTTCTGCCACTGATGAAGGTGACGCCGAGGCCCTGCCCCATGAGGAGGAAGCCAACCCTGGACCCAGGCACTTCCACTCCTGGAGGCACCTGCCCCTGCCCCGTCCCTCCCCCAAGTCCCGCAGGCTGCAAACCCCAAGCCCCTGCCGACGGCTGTTCCTCTGGTCCTCCCACACGGGAGAAGTCACCAGCCCTTCCATCCATTGCTGTGCGCAGCCTCAACAAGAGTCCTGCTGCTGGGCACGCACGTCCAACCCACGGGGAGCGGCCGCTTCACATGCCTCAGCTCAGCCGCACTCAAAAGGACGGAGAGTGACCAGGGCAGGAGGCGGCGGCCAGTGGCACCTGACTCACTGTGGGCGCCACCTGGGGCAGACGCTTGAAGGCCTTCCAGCAAACGGACAAACGGACCAGGCTGTCCAGGCGGCGGGATCCACCTGGCCGTGGGGAGGACTGGCGCTGGGTGGCTGCCCTGCAGCTGGACCCCGAGAACGGACGCTGCGTGGACACAGCCAGACCCAGGCCCAGGCGGCCCACGCCCCGTCCCACCAAAGTCCAGGGCAGGCAGACCCGACGGCAGGCGCATTAGCGGCTCCCAGGGGCCGGGCGGGGGAGGACGGTGGCCGCCACGGGCCTGGGGTGTTGGGTGGTAATGAGAATGTTCTGGAATTACTGGTGACCGCCGTACTGCCTTGTGACTGTGCTAAGAGTCGCTAAATTGTCTACTTAAAAGGGCACACTTCACGGCACAGGAGTCGTCTTCATGTTTTTATGATCTGTTTTAGGCGCCGGCTTATGAGCTCAGGGGGCGTGTAGCCCTGGGTGCTGACCAAGGACCCGCTGCCCGAGCAGGCCGCCCAGCACCCAGGCCTCTCCCGCCCCGACTCCATGTCTCCGCCAGCGCCCTGGCCCTCACCTGTGCCGCCGCGGCCTGGCCACGCTGTTCCCGCCCTGGACTGGTCTCCTGTCCTTCCTTGGCAGGTCACACTTGCCCCCAAGCAAGTCCCAGCCGCCTCCCCTGGGCAGCCTTCCTTGACCCCTCAGGGCAGGGAACAGCTGTCCCTTCCAGATGTCCCACGGGAGGCAACCGTGGCGGCTGAGTCACACCCACGCAGCCGAGGCTCTTAGACCAGCGTGTCCCAAGCGTCATTCGTTGAGCAACTGGAACTGGGCGCCGGGCCCGGGGCGCTGGACCGCTGGCCCCATCCCCAGCTCTTCTGGTTTCTGTGCTGAGGCGGGTCTCACTACGCCCCTCAGCCTCCCGGTGGCTGGGATCACAGGTCACCGCCCCCGCCCAGTGCCACCCTCTCAGCCACCCCAGTCCCTTTCCTGGACGTGTGACCACCTCCACCACCTCCCGGTTCCCCGTCCCTCCTTGAATTGCCCTTTGGCACTGAACACACTGGACATTCCAGGTGTCGCTGTTTCCCTGTGTGGGATCGGTCACCCTGCCGGGGACGCGGGCTCTAGAAGGCAGGGTCTTGTCTGTGTGGCTCCCTGTGAAGCCCCCAGCCCCCTGAGGAGCGTCCCTGCTCCCGGCCGAGGGAGAGTGAAGGGGGCCCCGCGTGGACGCCTTCCCAGGGCCACTCTGTCGCACGCCGTCTTGGCACCGCGTCCACCCGGCTGAGGCAGGTGAGTGGATGGGGAGCCAGTTGACCCAGGGACGGTTTTGTCCGGGGTGAAGCTCCCAGCCCGTGGGCCACCCCAGGTCCTCCCCGTGGTGTCCCCAAGTCCCGACTCGGTCCTCCCCGCAGATTCTCCCCAGGACCAGGACAGCCCCGGCTTCTGCAGAGGAGCCGCCTCCCGGCCCCCTGCAGACCACAGGGTGGGGCGCCAGGGAAGGAGCAGGGACCCCCAGGAGCCGTGGGGAGCCCAAGGGCTTGGGGACAAGCTCCCTCCTTCCGCCCAGCACCTGGTGCACTGCCCGGGGAGAGCAGGCCAGCCACCCCGCTGTCCCCATGCCTCGGCTGGGCGCCCTGACGCCAGTCACGGAGCAGATCTGGAACGAGCTGGGGTTGCTCAGACCCCGCTGACGCCATCTCACAGGGAGAGTCCCCACGTCCCTGCTGGGCTCTGTGGAGGGCTGGGCCCGTGGCGTCTGCATCCATCTACAGGGGCTTGGCTCCCGTGGGGCTTGGTGTCCCTCCTGCTCAGCTGCATGGCTGTGTGTGCGTGTGTGCATGTGTGTGTGCATGCATGTGCGTATGTGTGCATGTGTGAGTGTGAGTGTGCACGTGTGCATGTTTTTGTATGTGCGTGTGTGCGTGTTTGTGTGCACATGTGTGTGCCTGTTCCTGTGTGTGTACATGCACGTATGTGAGTATGTGTGTGCACATGTGTCTGTATGCACATATCTGTGTATGCACGTGCATATATGCACGTGTGTGTATGTGTGTGCACGTGTGTGCGCACACACATGTGCGTATTGTGTACGTGTGTGCACACATGTCTGTGTGTGCGTGTGCATGCATGTGTGTGTGTGTGTGGTGTGCACAGCACACGCCCAGCAGTAAGCCACCAGCCGAGGCACAGCCAGGACCTCTGCGCATCTTTAAGCAGGAACCACGGGACTGTGCTGGCTGGTGCCGAGGCTGAGGCCGAGGCTGTCCCACTCTCCCGCTCTCGGAGTCTCCTGCACCCAGGGCGCAGATTTCTGCCTCCACCTCCCGCCCTCCAGTTTTTTGGGGAGATATAGGCGCGTCTGAGGAGGGAGTCAAGGCCACTCCTACTCCTCCACCAGCTCAGGAGAACCTCCCTTCCCTTTTCCACTCCTTAGAGCCGAAGGGCCTTCATCAAATTCCAGCTCTGCCGCAGGCCGGCTGCTTGACCCTGAAAACCACGTCACCACTCGGAACCGCTGTTTCCTCTTTCGTCATAAGGTGCCCACCCCTTTGCACCAGGAGGAGGGGTAAGTGAAGGGAGGTGTGGCCAGAGCTCGGGGGCTTCGGCACCGAGTGAGGGCCCCACACACGCTGCACCGTGATCCCAGGGTGGATGTGGGATCTCTAAGCCCTTCCACCCAACAGCGGGTTTCACGTTTCGCTCCCGAGCACTCTTAATGACCACAGAACACCTGCCACTCCGTTCCCCTGTCGATAGACACAGAAGTCGGCCCGGGTCGCGCACTCTGCCGCGGGGACATTCCTGGACTCGACTCTTGGGCACGTCTCTGGGATGGACTCCCAGAGGTTGAACCCCTGGGTCAGAAGGCGCAAGGACTCCAAGGACCCACCCACCACACATGGCCAAGGACATCCAGGGCCCGTCTGGGAGACCTGCCTACCACGTCCCCTCTGCCCCAGGCCACCCCCTTTTAGGCACCACCAGTGAGACAGGCAAAGGCCACTCTCACCCTTTAATTAATCCACATTTTAAACCATTTCGTCTGCTGTTTTCCTAGCGCTGGTTCACAGCTCAGTGCGCTGAGGGTCACCGCGTGCGGGTCTTGGGCGAGGCACCCTCCCCCTGAATTAGCCTGCTGTCGTGCCAGGGACGGAACCCAGGGCGCCGAACCCGGAGCCACGTCCCAGCCCTTTTTATTTTCTTATTTTGAGACAGAGTCTTGCTAAGTTGCCCAGGGCCTCACTAGTTATGAGGCTGGTGATCCTTCTGCCTCAGCCTCCCAAGTCGCTGGGATTACAGGCGTGAGCTGCTGTCCCTGACCCTTTTTTTTGGTGATGCTGGGAATGGAACCCAGGCCCCGCCCACACGGAGCACAGGGTGTACCACTGAGCTGCATCCCAGTCGCGCTCCATAAAACATCTTCATCAGACTTCTGGGGATACACCCAAAAGATGTGAAGGCTGGGGACCCGGGGCTCCAGTAGACATTGGTTCACCCACGTTCACAATGGTCCAAAGGTGAAAGTAGGTGGCAGATGGGTGGGTGACAGGGTGTGGTACTGTGTACACGAGTGTGTGTGTACTCAGACGTATGCATACATATGTGTGCCGTGGAATATTAGTCAGCCTTAAAAAGGAAGGGAATTTTGCTCCATGCTATGGCACAGATGAAGCTTGAAGACGTCTACTCTTTCTTTCTTCCTTTCTCTTTCTCTTTCCCTCTCTTACATGGGCCTCGCTATGTCACCCAGGCTGGCCTCGAACTCGTGGGTTGTGGTGCGAGATCCTCCTGCCTCAGCCTCCAACTAACTGAGAGGCTGTCAGGCACCGGGCAAGCCAGCAGCCGGCCACGAGAGGCCAGTCCTGGGGATTCCTATCGCGGGAGGTCCCTAGAGCAGTCGATTCCTAGCTCCCCTCCCCGTCCCCCGAAAACAAAACAAAAAATAAATGGGAACGGCGGTCACCCTGGGCCAGGGGGGTTGGTGTTTGATGGACAGTTTCACTTGGGGAAAATGAACGGTTCTGGAGGTGGCTGGTGTGATGCTTTCACACAAATGTGAACGCACTTGACCCCACAGAACTATCCCTAAAAATGGTCAAAATGGTAGATTTTATGTCATGTATATATTTCAGGGCAATAAAAGTCTCTTAAGCTCCATAAAATCCTGTGAGGTACTTATTATTATCACCCTCCCCCTTTTTGAAACGGTTGTGAAATTAAGGCTCAGAGAGGCTGGGCTTGCTAGGAAGTGTCACACAGCCTCTGAGAGCTGCGGCAGGTCTAACTCTCTCAGTCCGTCACACTCAAGAATCCCGGCCGGCCGGAGCCCGAGGGCACATTCCAGCAACGGGGCAGCAGGTGGAGCGGCCAGAGCCTGGAACTGCGGCCCCAAGCCCAGAGTTCAGCTCCGAATTGACTCCCGCCTTCCTGTGGCTCTAAATTTGGCCAAACGGGTTCTTCCAGCCCCGGGATGACGCGGGCACACTGTTGTGGAGAGCAGAACTTTTTCCTGGTCTGAAAGAAAGAAAATAACGCAGCAGTGGCGTTCGGAGAAGCGGCCCTCGGCCAGCACCGCCTAAGAGTGAAGGGGGCTCGGGGGCGGGGGCGGGGGACAGCGATGGAGACCGTGCCTCTCGACCCCGGGTCTGGCCACCTGCTCCCAAGGGGACGGACAGAACCTCGGAAATGCTCAAGCTCAAACCTCCAGCCAAACTGAGATCCCCCTAAAATTCCAAGAACAAACTGAGCCTCTCCCCGTGCGCTCCAGGACAGGGTCCTTGGGGACTCGCCCACTGAGTCCCGGGACATCCCCGCCCTCTGGCATTCTGCTGGGTCTGGCTGCTGACGACCAAGGATCCTTGCACACTGGACCCGGGAGGACCTTCCCTTTTGGCCACAGGCAGGATTTTGGTGCTTGACCCAAAGAGATGGCCTGTCCCTTCACTTTCCTCCCTCAGGAATGTTCAACTGGAGACACCGAGGACATTCCAGTCAGTGCAGACAGGAGCAGAAAGGTCAAGAGCTGGTGGCCATTGGGGATATGTGCCCTCAGCCACGGGGTGAGGGGAAGGTGCCGCAGGGCTCTGGATCCCAGGGAGAAGGTCAAGGGGCTGGATCAAGCTTCTCCTGAAGCCCACACTCCCCACAGAAGTTTCAGTTATGTGAACAGACAAGTCTTTCTTCGTATTAATTTCATCGGTCTTTCTGGATATAAAAAATTTAATAACCAAAAGAAATATCCATATAACCTTCCAGTTTGTCTCTTTCTAACCTGAAATTGTCGGAACAGATTTCTGAGTCATGGAACTCACAGACCTCACTAAAGCAGCCAAGCCCCTTTGGAAAACAAGGTCCAAAGCAGTGTCCCCATGTGTCCCCAGTGACTAGCTCCCCCCTGGTCGAAGTGCTTGGCGGGCAGGCAGAGTTAGGACAGAGCTGCAGGGACCCACTGTCCACAGGACAAGCCCTCCCCAGCCCCAGGGCCTCTGGCTGTGGTATCTCGAGGGCTCAGGCGAGGCCAGGCCAGGGAGACCGGAGGCCAGGCCTGGGGCAGAGACGTGTCCTCCCTGGGGCTTGTGCGGTGCTGTGTGGCCACCAGTGAGTTGAGTGACCACAAGGACGGAGGGCATCACAGGACAGCAGGGAGACAGGGCCTGGCGCTGCAGGGGCAGAGGCCACGTCCACCCTCCGTCTGCTCCTCCCAGCTGAGCACTGGGCTGCCTCCCGCCTCTCCAGGGCCACAGAGGTGACAGGGTCCCAGGCCCCCGGGAAGCAGTGGCTTTGGTCCCTGGCTAGGGCCAGACCCTGGAGGAGAAGCCCTCGGGGGAGGGGCAGACTGCAGGACCCCGTCCGTCCCCCCGGCAGCCGCGGGGCAGCAGGGCAGGGGCCTGAGCCTGGTGTGATGAGGGCTGGGAGGAGCCCGGGGCTGTCCACCCTCTGCCGCCACCTGTGGCCAGCTAGCCGGGGCCAGAGCAGCCACATATGTGTGACTCGGCCTCTCGGCCAAGGTGCACCGTGTCCTTCCTGGTGACCCGAGGCCAGGACTGCCGCCTGTGTCCCCATCCCTCTCGGCGCCCAACGGAGCAGGTCACAGGTCCTCTGTGACCTTCAGGCCGGCAGCCAGGGCCACCAACGAGATCACGTCCACAGGCCTCCAGCCACGGCCTGCTCAGAGGGGACACCCCCAGCCAAGGGCCATCGTGGGAGGGTGATCAGGATATGGGTGCAAAGACCTGGGCCTCAAGGGAGGCGGGGAGGCCACGGCCACCACTGAAGTCATCAATCACAGTCCCACCGAGGGTTCACCTCGAGGCCACCACTGACGTCCCACAGGCCACGATCCTGGCTGCCGGGCCCCTCCTCTCTTGGGCCGAGTGAGGCTGAACCGCTACCCCAGGGGCTGGGGGGCTGGGGGACTGGGGGACTGGGGTCTGGGGGGCTGGGGGGCTGGGGGGCTGGGGGGCTGGGGACTGGGGGGCTGGGGGGCTGGCATTGTGTGGCGTTGGACTCTGGCCGTGTGGAGGGCATGCACGTCCATCAGTGACGTCCACCATGGTTGGAGGACAGGCGCCCTGCTGGTCACATCTTCCTTCCAGCAGTACCACGAGTCGAGGTGGGACGCAGCCTGGTCCGACTGCCCCGTCCATGCAGCTGCTGCGACTGGCTCAGCCAGGGAGTTGCCTCCAGGCCAGAGAAGATCAGCCCCAACCCTCACCTCGCCCTGTGCTCTCCTGGACCCAGCCCTACCTGAAGCCATCGAATCTCAGACTGTGCGCTTTGGCAAACCTGTAAGTTCTCTTTTTTGCGTAAACCAGTGTGAATTGGGTTTTCCTAACACAGGAGGCCATGTCCATCTGTCTTCCACTCAGGCCTCAGAACGGGGGGCAAGGGCAGGTTAGATGGCCAAGATCATCCTGGGCTGAGCCTTAATCTCTTTCTTGATCCAGCCATGACCGGAGGCCTGGGCTGCAGAGAGAGGACGCCCACTTCTTCAAATGCAGCAAGAAACGTCTCAGGAGGTTCCCGCGGGGTCCACCTTCCTGTCATTGGTGACTCGGCCTCTGCTTTGGAGAAGGAGTCAGGAGGGGCAGCGATCCTCGGTGGCCTCTGTGCCCCCCAAACTTCCCCCAAAGCCAGGTTTTCCTTGGCTCCTGGGGCTGAGGACGGGCTCCATTGAACTGTGTTTTGAAACATTGGCACGAACCGCGGACACCTCGGGAGGGAGCCCTGGTCACCAGGGGCCGGTTAAAGTCCAGCCACCACAACCCTGGTCCCCCAGGATAATGGGTGGCACCTCCCCACCCCGAGGAGGCGGCTCGTCCTCAACTCTTCTTGGTCGGCTCCTGCGTCCGGCCTCCTCTCCCCGCACAGCCCGACCAAGAGCCGGGGTGCAGACGCGGGCCGTGGGGCCAACCGTCGGCTGCGGCCACCTGGGTCTGCTCTTCAGGTTTCCCGGAGCCCGTCCTCCTCCTCCTGCTCTGGAACCGTGGGCGCGGCGGCCGGGTCAGGGGAACAGAGGCTGAGCTGGTGGACAGAGCCCAGGCTGCCCCTGTCCTCTCTGTGGAGTGGGTGTGACGATGGCCACTGTCGGCAGGCTGTTTGGAGCGGCCTGGGCAGGGGCGGGGGGAACGTGGCCTTCTCTCCGGGCTGGCTCGGGCGGGGCAGGTGCACGCCAGCCGCTGGGGTCCCCGGGGGCTCCTGCGTCCTTCAGCCATGAGGACGTGGCTCCCTCAGCCACCTCAGTGTAGGATCCGTGCAGTCCCTGGAGAAGTGTCCACTCTTCCACGCGGAGGCGACAAATCTCCTTCCCAATGCACAGGGGCCGGCACTGCCCAGGTGCAGTCTGAGGATGCTCTGTGGTCACCTGCCTCACCCTGAGGCCGTCGGGGCAGGAGGACACTCCAGAGGGCACAGGCGCCTGCCCACCTCCAGCCGGGTCCCACTCGTGGCCTGTCCCACGGCAGCGGAACGGGTCCTCAGGGGGCACCCACACGTGCCACCCGCCCTGCCCCCCCCAGCTCTGCAGGGACAGGGCACACCCTGAAGGCAGGAGTGGACGAGCTGCACACGCACTGGGTACGCGTGTTCACACGCCCCCTCCCCGCACACGCGTGCAGGCGCACACACGCACACTGTTCACACACATGTGCCGCACGCGCTCTTCCTCCCGGCCCCCACCCCCGCTCGGTCCACCTCTCCCGAGCCCAGGCTGCTGACCACTGCTGCCACACACTCGCCACCCCACTCCTAGGGTGCCCAAGCGTGAGGTCACTTCTGCAGCAGGTTGTAGCTTGGGAAGTGACCGTCCTCTCCTCCCGCTGTCCTGGGGCTCAGCCGAGCCTGCTCCACCCCGAGGCGCCCATCTGCCCGGAGAGGAGGACGGGGGAGCGGGGGCCTGGACACGTCCAGCTGCTGCCGAGAGACAGCGCTTAGCCCCACCCCTCGGACCCTCTGGGACCCCCTCAGCAGCCTCGGGTGGGCACACTGGGGCCCCTGGCCAGGATGGGACAGACCCTGCTGAGGCCGGTGACACCTTGTTAGGCAGAGTGACCTGCAGCCGGGCTGGAGGTGGACAGCGGGCAGGGGTCAGGTGCTGGGGCTCGGAGCGGAGGAGAAGCCATGCAGGCAGGGCTCCTGCCCAGGGGACACAGTGACCAGCTGCCAGCTTCACCCGGCTGCCAGGAAGGCCATCAGCGGCCGCGGGCATCCCTGGTGGCTGGAGACCCCGACACTCCTTCCCCGGGACACCCACCTGGTGCCATCGAGGACGGCTGGGAGGAGGACTGGGACTGGGCGCCCCCTGCAGGCCCCAAGTGCCCGGGAGAAGGAACTCGGGTCCCCCTGGCCAGTCCCTTCCCGGCCACGCTGACTGCGGCTTGAGAGAAACAGCGGCTCAGATTCAGGCCCCCTGCTCTGTGGTCAGTGAGGGGACCACAGCCCCGTGTCCCCCGGCCACAGCCCAGGCTCTCCTGCAGGCAGCACCGCCCTGGGCTGCAGGCGCCGTGCCGGGCACATAGTAGGTGCTCAGTTTAGTCTCAGGGAAGAGTGACCGCTGTCCTGCCTGGCAGCAGAGGACCGGCCGGTCTCAGGGGCTGGGGGGGAGGAACCGGTGAGAAGGGCTTCGAGGTCAGACTGACCGGCTTCACCCCGGCTCTGCCCTGTGGGGCAGCTTCTGGCCGGTGTCCTGATCCCACCTCGGGAGAGGGCAGGTGGACACTTCCAGCGACTAGGACGTGTTAAGAGGTGGACGGTCCCCTCCAGTGTGG